TTAACCTAAAGGAAATGTGAATTTGATTATCAGGAAATGAAAATAGCTTAATGCTTATACAGTTAGATGTAAATAACATATCCTGCTTATTCCCTTAGTTTTTTCTGCGCACTTACTAGATACATTATGTTCTGTATTCTTGGTTTTTCTGCTTAATTGTTGTGATGAGTACCGAAACACATTTATACTTTGACTACATATGATAACTCAAAATGGTAATTTTTATTTGCTTTTATTAGCTGTTTTTTTAAAAGTTACACAAAAGGAAATGATTTATTCTGTGAGTTCTAAACTATATTATTTCAGTGCCTTGAGTTCATAAGACTACTCTTCTTGAAAAGTTGTAACTCTCTTTATTAAAAAAGCAAAATCAGAAAAAGATGCTTTTTCTAATCCCACATAACATCCCCACTCCATCCCTCCCTTCCCCTAAGTTTGGAATGGTATCTTGACTCAGTGGATTGGGACATTCTCTTATATCTAAGTGGGCTTTATTTTTTGTTGTTGGTATTCATGTACTTATCTACCCCCATAAGCAATTTGAGGGCAGGGTGCATATCAGATTCAGGCTGTTGAGGTTTCTAGCAAGTTGTGAACTTAGTGAAGTGGCCTCTCCTAAATAACTTCCTTCCCAAAGCATTCTTTCTCAATATCTCTGATTCATGTTGACTGCTGGCCTTTGAAAGCTGTCTTTTGTGGCTTCCTGAGCAGCCATTCCACCCCTTTCCCACATCTAACAGCCACTTTTCACTTTCCTTTGTGATTTTGCTTTTCTCAACTCTAACTTAGGGTTTTTTCTCTCAATTTTCAGTACACTGTTCTAAGGACTTACACTCTTTCTCTTTACTCTCTGCCTCACAAAGACATTATTGTGATGATATATTCAATATTTATTGAGAGCCCACATATACTTGAAATCTCACATGCCTTATAACATGTAGAGTTTTTTATCCTTACACTAACTTGACGTGATAAATCCACAATAAGCATAAATTATTTTGCCTGGTGGTGCTACAGTTGCTTCTTATACTGTAAGAGCTGAATTTACTACTTTATTAATTTAAACAGAGCAACAGTTTAAAACAACACAGTAAAAATAAAATAAAGTATAAGTAATTTTTATACTGGTGTTTTACAGTGTTGACAGTTGTAATCTGCCACAATAGATGGTTTTTCAGATAAGCTGTAGAGAAGTGGAAGTAATAATACTATTCATAAAGTTCCTCTTTAATACTGAGATTACCAGTTTGTACTGTTATTGTTGTTGTTAGGTTCATTCCAACTCATAGTGACCCTGTGTACAATGGAACGAAGCACTGCCCAGTCCCGTGCCTTCCTCACAATCATTGCTATTTTTGAGCCTGTTGTTGTAGCCAGTGTATCAGTCCATCTCCTTGAAAGTCTTCCTCTTTTTCACCGACCCTCTGCTTTATCAAACATGATGTCCTTCTCCTGGTACTGGTCCCTCCTGATAACATGTCCAAGTATGTGAGACGAAGTCTCTCCATCTTCACTTCTAAAGACCATTCTGGCTGTACTCCTTCCAAGACAAATTTGTTCATTCTTCTGGCAGCCCATGGTATATGCAGTATCCTTCACCAATACCATAATTCAAAGGCATCAATTCATCTTTTGTCTTTCTTATTCATTGTTCAGCTTTCCCATGCATATGAGGCAATTGAAAATACTAGGGCTTGAATCAGGTGCACCATAGTCCTCAAAGTGACATCTTTGCTTTTTAACACTTTAAAGAAATCTTTTGCAGCAGATTTGCCCAAGGCAACATGTCATTTGATTTCTTGACTGCTGCTTCTGTGGGTGTTAATTGTGGATCCAAGTAAAATGAAATCCTTGACAACTTCAGTATTTTCTCTGCTTATCATGGTGTCGCTTATTGGTCTAGACAAATTAAGATTTCAGAAAAACAAACAAACCAGAAACATAAATCCTTTAAAATTTTTAAGAAGAACAAGAGTGTGTGATAAATGGTTAGGTTTTGTTAACAGATCATTTTAGGTAATATACTGTTTCTTCCTAATGATATTTAATATACTGTATTTTTATACAAATAACACGTATGTTATATCTTTTGTTGCCAACCATGCAATCACCTAATGTGTTATTTTCCTAGGCACGTTATGCGTGTTATATGTGTATGCACATTATTTACGTGGGTACATTATTTGCAAAAAATACAGTAATTGTCATTAGAACATTTAAAATCACTCATGACTTAAATTCACTCATGATTAGTTTGTCATTAAAAACAAAACTTTTTCAATATGGAATGTTGAGCTAATTGGAGAAAAGATTTTTAATTTTTATTTTCAATAATATTTATTTGAAAAAGGATATCATTTTAGCTAGGATTTATAGCTGTGTTGTTATTAATTATTTATTTTGGTGACAATATACACAGTTTTTCTGAAATCTTAATATACAGTATAGATTTCAGAAAACAAACAAACCAAAAACATAAAACCTTTAAAATTTTTAAGAACAAGAAAGTATGATAAATGGTTAGGTTTTGTTAACATATCATTTCAGTAATATACTGTTTTTCCTAATGACATTTAATATACTGTATTTTTATGCAAATAAAAACAGATACCAACTCAACAGTTTCTATATGTACAATTCAGTGACATTGATTACATTTTTCAAGAGTGCAACCATTCTAGCTATTGTTTTCCAGGCCGTTTGTCTAGGCTGTGTTTTCTTGGGAAGTAAAACCAGTAAAGCTTATAAATATATATATAGAGAGATTTATATCAAGGAAATGGCTCATGTGATTGTAGAGGCTAGAAAGTCCCAAGTCCGTGGGTCAGGCTGGAGGCCTCTCCTGACTCACGTAGCTGCAGGGGCTAGTGAACCCAAGATTGGCATGTCAGACAGCAGGCCTCTCGCTCACAGGCTGCGGAGGCCAATGAATCCTAAGGTCGACAGGCAAGACGGCAGGTATGCTGCTAGCTCAGATCCCAAGAGTTGGAGGTTACATGAACAGGAGCCAGCTGCAGGATCCAAAGTGAGCAAAAGCCCACGAGTTTTGCCAGAAAGTTCACCTGTATTTGATGCAGGACACACCCCAAGGAAACTCCCTTTCTACTGATTGGCTCCTCGTAACAGATCTCATCATGGAGGTGATTGCATTATATCAGATCTCATTATGGAGGGGATTATGTCATTATGTAGCTGCCAGACTATATCATAACTGGCAAACCACTGAGAACCATGGCCTAGAGAAGTTGCACACCCTTAGCCATCACACTATTCCACCACCATTAACATAAACTCACTGCCCTCCGAGCTTCTCATCTAACCTTTCATTTGCCGTTGTCAGTTTGATTGCAGAGAGACAATTCTTTAAAATAACACAATGCTCAAGGCAAATATTCTTTACTAATTAAGCTAAACTGTCGTTTGGTTTAAAGATGACTTCAGGGAATAATTTTAGTTTAAAGTTTAAAGATTACCCCATGCCAGTCGTTTTGGGGAGTCATCCAGTCTCAATGGCCCCAGAAAGTCAGGTTTCGTGAGAATTTGAAATTCTGTCCTATATTTTCCCCTGTTCTGATCAGGTTTCTTTTATAGAATCTTGGATCACAATGTTCAGTAATGGTAGCCAGGTGCCATCCAGGTTTTCTGGTCTCATGGCAAAGAAGGGGTTTGTTCATGGAAGCAATTAAATGTGTGTTCTGGTTCCTTTTCTGATTTCTGACTGTCTTTCTTCCTCTGCTGCTCTAGGCGAACAGAAACAATGTAATGTTACTTTAATCAGTTGCTGAACCTCTCCTCCCCATTTTGTACATTCCCTTTGCTTTTAGTTTATCAAAGTTCACACAATAACCCTGTAATAGATGGTTATCAAGTTCAGATTAAGTGGTTCTCAGACTATTTCTTTGTGTGACTATTCTGGTATTTCCTTTCAATAAAAGATTACACAGGCTTATAGTTCATCTTTCAGATGTTTCCATCTACATATAACTCATTGAACTCTGGTGTGTATGCTTATGTGCATGTACTCTATAAAGCCTGTATGGCAGTCATACACGGGATGACTTAGGAAATGTAAGAGGTTTAAAAGCAGTTTTCAAAAACCACAGTTTGCCATTGTAGTATTTATTTATTTTGAATGACTGTCTCTCCTAGCATTCCACCGTGAATTCCAGTTTTAGAACCAGTCTTTTAAGTAAGGTTAATTTTATTCAGGAACATATTATATTATGGCTCTTTTCTCTATATCTTTGGACTCTTTATACAGTTTTTTTAAAAATAGTATTTTATTGTGTTTTTGGTGAAAGTTTACACAGTAAATTAGGTTCCCATTTGACAATTTCTATACAAATTGTTCAGTGACTTTACATTTTTCACAGTGTGTCAGCATTCTCTTTGTGTTCTTGTTCCGTTTCTGGTATTTTAGTTTCCCTGCCCCCTTATCTTCTCATCTTTGCTTTAGAGTAAATGTTAATCTTTTAGTCTCATATAGTTTTTTAGTAGAGCACCATACTTATGGGTAAAATGCTTTATTTTGTGTGCCTTTTTGTTGTTTCTTTATGCAGTTTATGTTTCAGTTTTCGGTATTGAAAGAAGAAAATCCTGCAAGATAATTTTTTTCTTTTTTTACAATTAGACACACAAAATATTTTAAAATTGTAATTCACATGATTTCCATATAACAGTTTCAAATAAATTATTGTCATTTAATACATTTAACAAAGTCAGCTGATTTAAATCCTCTCAAAAGTAGACCATATAAATTTATTAGAAAGTAATATCTTAAAAATTTGTCTACTTTCCTCTTTGGGAGTGATGTCAAACTTTTATTTGTAAAGTAGCACGGATTTATTCTCATTTAATCCATGTTTACTTTGAGATTTTCCTGTATTTTCACTATTACACTATTATACTATTGTATTAGGTATCTTACCAAAATCTTTGTGTTTTGGTATTATATTACACTAGTATTTTCTTGTATTTATTAACTTAAAAATTCCTTTCAGTCTCGTAGTGTGGATAAGCAACATGCTGTAATCAATTATGATGCCTCTACGGATGAACACTTGGTGAAAGATTTGGGCAGCCTAAATGGGGTAAGTTAAGAGTTTATTTTTTGTCTTAGATGAATATTTTTCTAATATTGTAAGAAGACAGATTATATGCCTGGTTTGTATTATATTTCCTTTTTCTGTAGTTTGTATTTTACTTTTAAATGATAACTAGGTACACAGCACTTAGGCAGCTATACAAGAGGAATAAGGAACTAACTTATGTTCCCAAGAAACTGTATAAGCGATAAATACTTACAGAAATTTATAAGAGGGTTGGTTGCTATTTGTAATGGTTAAAGCTACTCCTTGAAGGAAATGAGACCTAAACTTGACTTTAATAGATGACTTAAATTTATATGTGAGAAAACAGTGGAAAGTCATGACAGTAAGAATGAGAAGCAATGTTAGGGGACAGAAGAGTATGTGTTAACTTTAGAAAATAAAAATGGAAAAGTAGTTTGGTGCCAGAGGGTGGAGGACCTTCTATACTAGGGTAGAAAGAAGTGAAACATCCATTTGTCTTAACAGGAACTAAACACTAATGCTCGCTAATGCTTCTTTGGATTTCTACTTTGAAGATATTTTTGTGTTACTATAGTGATTTTTTTTTTCATTTAGTTTTTCCACATTGACAGAATATAAAAGAATGCTGAAGTACTATTTTATTTCTTTTCAATTGCTCAATTTTCCTATGTCTCTACTAGCACATATAGTTTTGTTCTATGTGTAGTATTGTTCATATCTGTGCTGTCGAAATTCTTGAAATGAATTTAACAGAACCTGAATGTATCCTACCTGCTTCAAAATGCTATTGCTTTTCAAAATATACGTTAAAGCATTATATGGAAAAACATGCAGAAATTTGGCAAACTCTACAACATTTTTCCCCCCAGTTCTGAATTAGCTTGCTAGTGAAGGGTTTTTATATTTATTCTTTGAGATTTTGTGTGTGTGGGCATACTTTCTGTCTTATTCAAGCCTTTATTTGTTTTTCATGGCACATAGAATTAAGTCTAAATTATTCAGCTTTGCACTGAAATTCCTCACAGTTGGCATCTACTCTTAACAGATTTACACTCCATCATGCTTTTGCTTGCCATGCCTGGAGAACAGTAATCCTCCTAATGTACTGTCTTCCTTCTCCAAATAGCTTAGTAGACTTTCTTCTGCCTAGTAGTTCTCCCATCTCTTTTGCCATTTATAGAAGAAGGGAACAAAAAGAAGGCCCTTGTATTTAGGAATATTAACTTGCTGTTATTGTTAACATGCTGAATGAATTAAAGTGGAAACAGGTGGGCAAACTAGGTAGAAACTGTTTTAACATGAGGCATGTAAGTAGGCAGTTTTGATTCCCAGCTCCTGAGTTGTAGCCTGTTACTTCCCTAATAAACCACATAATTATGAGTATGGTCTGTGATATCTTTGTGGCCATTGCAACGAATTATCGAACTCAGCCGAGAAGTAGAGAGTGCCACGGGGGAGGGGGGATGGCTGGTGTCAGAAATGGTGAAAAAGTTGGAGAGTGGAGGTATGTCTGACCTCCACCCCAGAGGAATCAACTTCGTGCTGATCCTGATTCTTATCCCTCATGGATGTTGATGAGTTCAAACTCTAGATTACACACGTGTATAAATAAATCTTCCTGTGACTACTTCTAATCTTACTCCATTTAATCTCACCCCAAAATATACTCCTTAGATATACACTTTATGTTGTTGCCTGTGACAATGAAATGGTTCTGCATAGGGAAGCTGGAACACTTCTTTTGCTGACGGGCCATTTACTGGGCTATTTAGTGGGCCATTTACCTGCAAGCCCCTTGAAGCTTCTCTTTCTGTGGAAACCCTTGCTTGCCTTCAGTTCTTCCTGCTTCCTTCTTCCACTGGAGCACTTGCCCCTCTGATGCCACTGTGGTCTCTGCCATACCACTCCCATTCTGTTCTAGCTCTGCATGTTGTTTCTACGCTGCCCTCCTCAGCTAACTGTGTTCCAGCACCTTCTGTTATCCCTTATCACACTGGGGTTCCTGCCAACATCAGACTAACTTGACATAGAGTGGGGAGTGGTCCTCACTGAAGGTATGAAAGAAAGGGTTAGTGATTGAGGTGGTTGTGTTCCTGGCCACTCTGTTCAATTTCCCGTAGCACCACTGAAATAAATGGTGGTTGTCATGGATTGAATTGTGTCTCCAAAAAATATGTGTCAACTTGGCTAGACTATGATTCCCAGTATTGTGTGATTGTCCACCATTTTGTCATCTGATGTGATTTTCCTATGTTTTGAAAATCCTACGTCTATGATGATGAGGCAGGATTAGAGGCAGTTATGTTAATGAGGCAGGACTCAGTCTGCAAGATTAGGTTATGTTTTAAGTCAGTCTCTTTTGAGATATCAAAGAGAGAAGTAAGCAGAGAGACAGGGGGACCTCATACCACCAAGAAACAAGAGCCAGGAGAATAGTGTGGCCTTTGGACACAGGGTCCCTGCACTGAGAATCTCCTCCACCGGGAAAGATTGATGACAAGGACTTTCCTCCAGAGCCAACCGAGAGAGAAAGCCTTCCCTGGAGCTGGCACCCTGAATTCAGACTTCTAGCCTCCTAGACTGTGAGGGAATAAATTTCTCTTCGTTAAAGCCATCCACTTGTGGTATTTCTGTTATAGAAGCACTAGATAACTAAGAATTTGAATTCGAACTTCTAGCCTCCTAGACTATGAGAGTAAATTTCACTTTGTTAAAGCCATCTACTTTGGTATTTCTGTTATACCAGAACTAGATAACTAAGACAGTGGTTATATGCTGTTTATCATGAATTATGCAATTTAGTTGTTATGTAAATTAAGTAGGTGTTTATCTAGTTTGGTTTGCTTCTGTGAGGTTAGTGGTTTGGATAGGAGTGTATTGGGAACAGGCATGGCTTGGCCACCTAACCCTAATATCAACAGAATATGGGATTTGGAGTTTACAGACTGTCTTACGCTGGGCTCTCTAGAGACGCAAAACCAGTAAAGCGTATAAGTATATATATATAGAGATTTATATTAAGGAAATGACTCATGTGGTGGTAGAGGCTGGAACGTGGGTCAGGCTGGAGGCTCCTCCAGATTCACATAGCTCTAGGGGCTGGCAAACCCAGAATTGGCAAGTCAGACAGCAGGGCTCTGACTCACAGGCTGCAAAGACCAACGCATTCCAAGGTTGGCAGGCAAGACAGCAGGTAAGCTGCTAGCTCAAGTCCCAAGAACTGGAGGTCAGACAAACAGGAGGAGCCAGCTGCAGGATCCAGTGTGAGCAAAAGCCCAAGAGCCTTGCCAGAAAGTCCACTAATATTCGATGCAGACCACACCCCCAGGGAAACGCCCTTTCAACTGATTGGCTACTCATAGCACATCCCATAATGTAGGTGATCACATATCAGATCTTATCATGGAGGTGATCCTATCATTATACGACTCCCAGACTACATCATAACTGCCAAACCACTGGGAATCATGGCCCAGCCAAGTTGACACACAGCCTTAACTATCACAGAGACCCAAGCCTGAATCCCAGAATTACACTTCTAACTCTGAGGTATTGTTTGTTATTTCATTCTCTGTGCTTTATTTTCCTTATCTGTCCTACCTACCAGATAGAGGTGTAATCAGATGGCATTGACATAAGAAACAAAATCTGTTTTTCTTCTATATTTAATTTACTAAAATGCTTCGTAATTTGATTACTAAAATCCTTTTGTTCCTGCTGCACTTCGAAATTTTCTGTCCTCTTTTTGTAATTTTAGACTTTTGGGAGACTGTTTTTTGCCCCAGATGTTTTCACTTGCATTTTTGCATTTTTGTAAGCTGAATCTTGGAGTCCAGCTTTTATTTCATAAGTCTTTTTAGACCTTAGGGAATTTTTTCTGTTGTAAGTGGCAGCATGTTAAAATATTACTAGATATAATATAGCCAATAATATTCTAATTTTCTTGATCTCTCAGAGTACCTAGTATAAGAGAATTTTACAGTCTCAAGCTTTAAATGGATATTATAGGTCATTTTAGGCCTTGTTGAGTAAATATACTGTTTTAAGTTATTAGAGACAGTTTTAAATAAAATTCACTTAAAACTGTGACATTCCTGCTGAGTGAAATAAGTTGATCACAAAAGGACAAATATTGTATGAGATCTCTATTGTAAAAACCCATGAAAAAGTTCACACAAAATGTAACAATCTTTGTTGGTTACGAGGGATGGGAGGGGTGGGGGGGAAATACTAAATAGGCAATAGATAAGTGGTATCTTGGGTGAAGGGTGAGACAGTACACAATACGGGGGAAACC